CACACCGTGACGATAATACTGAACTCATTAGTCGGCTGACCATAAGGGTGGATTTCAAGATAATACAAGAAAAACTACGCGTGAAAAGCTCAAAATACCGCCAGTGCGGTGTCGGCTCTTATATTATAAAAAAACAATATCAACTGAAATTTTCAAACTTCAAATTCCACTAAATGTAAGAATTTGCATATAAAGATCGACCGGACAATCGGTGCGGGAATCATTATTTACAAAACCGAAGAAAAAGTCCGAGATTCTTCGGCACACACGCACGCACACACACCCACACACACGCACACACATACACACACACACGCATACCCACACATGCACACACTCATACATGCAGACACACATACACACACTCGCAAACAACACATAGACGCAACTCAGCAAATGAAAAATTTGCATATTATGCGGGTTTTTATGCAAATTTATTCAATAAGAGCATAAAATAAGACAAGAAATGCCTATAAAAGAGGAGGGATGCTTCCAAAAACTGCATATTTCCATTAGTTATCACTTGGAACGGCTGTTTCACTTTGCTGTTGGCACACCAATTCAATAACGCTGCTAAGTTCATTCCTCAAAAAGTAAATTCATTCTATGGGGATGGGTTATGGGTTTTTTTTTTTTCATATTTGTCAATATAAATAATGCGCAAAATTTCAATCGGCCTCGGCCTCTTTCATCAAATTTATTAATAAGGGGAGTGATTTAAAGGTGGCCTCAGCCTGTTCATATTTATTTGTAAGAAGAGTAACGTAAGGATGCCCTCAGCTTTCCCCCTCATACTTATCGACACAAATTTCGAATAAACTCATGCCTTTTTTTTTCCATTTTATCAACAATAAATAATGTACAAGTTTCAGATGACGACCTCACCGACTAAAGAGGACATGAAAGCGCTTCTAGCTGAAATTGGAGCAGGTTGGATTTCTAACGAGACATACTACTTACTTGAATACTTAAGCAATTGTATGTTATCGACGTTCGTTGTCGCGCTATCGATGCAGTTGGCAACTGTTGAGATACAAAGCAAAAAAATACCAGAAAAAATTTAAAAAAAGTTTGAAAGTTTCTCCTAGAGCTGGATCTATCAGTGATAAAAGCGTATGCGAAAAAGAACCTCGGATTAACTGAGAAGATGAAAACTGCTGATAACTTTTTAAGTGAGGCTGCGAACATTATTTTTGTGTTAAAAAAAGAATTCTCAGCTTCCCAGCTTTCGTAGTTTCTGAGTAAAACTATTCAGGACCAAAAAAAGACAGACATACACGAACACACTAACA